GTGAGAGAGAGAGAGAGAGAGAGAGAGAGAGAGAGAGAGAGAGAGAGAGAGAGAGAGACAGACACTCACATTAATATATGCTACATATTTATTGTTCATGTTAGTTAACATAGTTTTATGTTAATAACTGAAACCTTATTGAAAGTGTTACCAAAATTTTAAATATTGTTGTGTGTATGTGTCTATATGGTTCGGATTAATTCTTTAATTGCCGTAATGATTTTTGGCATAAAAGAAAAATCTATAATTTTGACCCATACGATGTATTTTTGGCTATTGCTACAAATATACCCCAGCGACTTAAGACTGGTTTTGTGGTCCAGGGTCACAAATGTGATACTACTATTTATGTGCAAGTGTTACCAAAATTTTAAATATTGTTGTGTGTATGTGTCTATATGGTTCGGATTAATTCTTTAATTGCCGTAATGATTTTTGGCATAAAAGAAAAATCTATAATTTTGACCCATACGATGTATTTTTGGCTATTGCTACAAATATACCCCAGCGACTTAAGACTGGTTTTGTGGTCCAGGGTCACAAATGTGATACTACTATTTATGTGCAAACAATATATACAAATTCATTTATAAGTATAAAAAAAGGCTTTTAGACCTATATGACTATTGAGATAATCACAGCATAGATTTTAAAATTGTTCACACAGACAATCTGGTTTAATTTTGTTCAATAATATCTCTTGAACTATGCACATGCTGGTTTACAGAGACATACTAATGTATGCCTCAGTTCTTCGAAACAATACACCCTGAACACACTCACCCCTCCTCAGGCACATCCTGGCCAAGAGTTCGGCACTCTCTTGGCGTGTAAAGCACTTCAATGTCATCTGGAGGAAACTCGATCAGATCTCTCAGAGGTCCTGACTCTATAAGGGGAGGGTGCGTGATCAAATACTCTTCAAAATCCACTGGCTCTACAGCCTCTGTCAGAGGAATCTGTAGGGAGAAATCCAAAGGGGAACAGAAAGAGAATGTGAGAACTGTTGCCGCTATCTTCAAAGAAAGTCTGTATCATGATGAAGGGATAGTGGTAAATACTCTTTGACGTGTCAGACAGTCTCTCAGATTTAAGATAGAAAAGTATATTCTCTTTGAAATGTAGTACTTACAGCATTGCTAGTTGCATTCCCACCCACACTGAGGTTTTTGAGAAGTTGAGGTGAGCCTCCGTACTGACCAGCAATCTGCTTCCTGACCTCAGCCGCTACAGTCCTGGAGAACAAGACAGCATAGAACGGCATTATAATAGAAAACAGATAAGAATCCCATGACTTGACTGCCTTCTCACTCTATGAATGAAATACTCAATTACTATAAACACTAATGTTCAAATGTTTGAGATCACTCCTTTTTTTTTTAAATAAGTGAATACTTTCACTCAACAAGGATGCATTAAATTGGTCAAAAGTAACTGTAAAGACATTATATCACATTACAACATTTTTATTTCAGATAAATACTGTTCTTTTAAACTTGTCGTCAAAGAATCCTGAAAAAAATGAATCACAAAAAAAATTATATTAAGCAGCACAAGTGTTTTCAACATTGATATTAAGAAGTAATGTTTCTTGAGCACCATATCAGCATATTAGAATTGAGGATCATGTGACACTGAGGACTGGAGTAATAACTGCTGCAAATTCTGCCAAATTACATTTTAAAATATATTAAAATAGAAAACAAATGTTTGTCTTTTTACAGTATTTTTTATCAAATATATGCTGCCTTTCAAAAACATTACGAACAAAACCATACCAACCCCAAACTTTTGAATGGTATCCAGCTGTGTGCAATGACAACATGGATGCATATAACATCGTTGTCACATGACATCACTATATTGCATCATGTTTAATTCAGTGCCACTGAATCATGTAGAAAATAAATATGGTTATTTTGCATACTTTGTATGTAAAAATATTCACAGACATGAGCCAACAATTCAGTCAAGAAAGACTTGATTGTTTATATTATTTCCAGATTTTTCATCCCACTGAAAATGGCTTGAGAACAGTACAGTACAGCAGTACACATCCAGGTACTCCAAGCACACAGAAAACTCCAATCATATCATATACAGACTGCTTACTGCTAAAATGGTACAAGTAGTATGCTATTCCAAATATAGCCAAAGTCTTGTGATCTTTTTCTTGGCCCAGGCTTTTGTAAATAATAGAGCATACTGGGCTCACAAAAATAATGCACTGGAAAAATTTGCCCACTATTTTCTATATTTTTCATTCATTCAGCAGTTTTAATTCAAAAAATAAATTGAGATGACCATGCGCAAATCACACTTGAAATCTAGCAGGAATAGTTAAAAAGAAACATACAAAAGCATACTAGCAAATCTTGTAATGGAGACTAGACTCTGCAAATTCACACCAAAATACACCTAAGCCCCTCCAACAGGTTAGGTTGACAAAGTGTCATTACTATAGAGTAATAACATAAGATTGTAACTTATTATTATTCCATTTACACAGACTGAATTACAGGCCTGTAAAGTACAAGCAAAAAAAAAATAAAATACCATCAAGGTTTAAATAAAAGCAATGTGTCTGGTCTATAGTGTCTGGTCTATACCAAATTTACAGTATTATCAGAATATCTTTGTTGTAGCATAGTGCACAGGTCAATATCTCTTCTAACACATGTAGAATGACATACAGTACACTGAAACAAAAATCTGCCCCCTGTGCTCTTGTTGGTTCTGGAGGGACCTTTATTTAGGCTGGACATTCCTGAAGAGGGAACAGATCATTAGCCCACGCGGATGTGTTGTTTACCAAGGCACCGGCTAACACCATGACTTTCAGTGCATATTTCACACATCTCTGAAAACTTCTTGCACTTAAGTGCCATGAGAAACAGCTTCTGTGACTTTCCAGAGAAGCTTCAAATTTCATCTGAATATCTAATTAGCAATTCATTCAATAAAAAGTGGGGAACTTCAAGATTTTTAGAGCTTTCAGTTTTGCTTTGACGGTGTAAAATAAAATGAGATAGACACTGACTTTTCTGGGGCTTTTTGCATTCTATATTATGGGTAATACCTACTGTATACTGTCTTATTAATAAAACAAAACACATAGCTATTTTCTTTGATCATATCAATAAACACGTTTTTTTTGGGATAACTAACAAGCAACGATTGGAATCAAGGCCCCAGGTGCCACAAAGTCTATACTGAACTGATCTAATCATCCTATTACACGTCACTGACAAGACGGCAGCATTTTCAAGCATCTGGGAAATGCCAAGACTGTGGAAACCACCAGAGAGCCTAAAAGGTCACTTCCTTTTTTAAATCCATAAACGGTCTAATCTCTAACTTAACATCACAAAGGAAATCTCGACAGAAAATATATGTTTTTGAGCCAGTGATGAGACTTAATTATAGTCTATTATGATAACCTAGGGCCCCTGCTCCACAAATGGTGGGCCACTAGCCAAAATCTGAACAGATCTAAACATTAATCACACAGTGTCATTACAGGGAAAAGTATCTGCTTGAAATTTTATCCTACATTGTATTACAGGTCATTCTGGATCTCAGTCTGAAATGGTCTTAAAGGCTTTATAATAGCTGCATGACTACAACAGCAATGCAAACCATCAATATCATACAAGAAAACCTGAACCCTTGTCAGTTGATGGTGTTCTCTATAATACACCAGAAATGATTATGCATAATTATTATTCATGATCTCCAGGCTTAAAGTCATTGTTTACATTTATTATTCAGTCTCGTTATTTACTTTAGAGTTTAACATCATCTTCTTGTAATCAAAGCCGTTGTGCACTAAACATATACTATATGACTGCATATTGAATACTATACTAATATATACCATATGCTTGCATACTGACAGTATAACATCTCATGATCAACCCGATGTGTCAGTATGTCAAGCTATCGTCTCACAAACCCTAAACCCTGCATTTCATTGATTCCCCCTCGTCTGCATCGTTAAAACCCTAGACGGGTTTAACAAAAGGCGCATTTATGGATTATAGACCCATGGATAAAGACTGATTTTAATGCACAGAAGCACAAAGGCGTCATACTGCTGTCTCGCAGCTTAGGGTGGGTCACTCGGGCATCTCTATGGATGTGCCCCAAAACCTAGTAAGCTACCTACCTAGACGGCATTCCAAACGCACCTAGACGGCATTCCAAACGCGCCTATTCGACCCAAACGTGTAGTCTGGGTAGGCAGCTCTCTAGGATTTGAGACAGCCTTATAAACTCAGCGTCTGCTCCAGCTAACTCAACGCCTAGGCCTTATTTGGGAAAGACTGGCACGCTCGCCAGCTGCAGCAGACAAAGAATGGTCGCAGGGCGCTGGGAGAATATATTTAAACGCAATAGTATGGAGGTGCGTTAGATATACTTACCTGCTGATTTTCTGGGCAAAGGCGCGTCGCTCAGCCATGACTGTAGCCGCTGAGTACTCGAGAGTAACTCCAGCGCTCCAGCCGCGATATTCCTTCCCCACCCGCAACCCGTATTTCCACAAGCCCCGCCTCCTGGCGCCTAAAGTAAGTCTGTGATTGGACAGTTGAGAAGTCACTCATAAAGCCGTAGTAACCATAATAAACAGAGAGCAAGTCGGGGGCGGGACTTGTCGGAATACGGCTGGGGAAAATAACGCGCTCCAGATGCACAAGAACCGTAAGGCCGGAAAAACAAACGCACACAATCTTTCAGTCTTTTGGGATCGTGGGTTGGAGAAGTCTTCCCAGTGATGCATATCCTGTGCGTACAATAGAGGGCTCTTTTACAGGAAACTATCTGTGTAGCGAAAAGTGTGAAATGCATCCGTTACCACTTCCACCACTCGTGCAATCTGTAGACAATGACAGCTTTATTGGTGTATAAACACATCGTGGTTTGTAATAGCGGTTGTTTAATTTGGACTCTTCTGATCATGAATAATATAATGATACTTCGTAAAAAGCAAAATAATGCTTATAAAGTGCAGAAAACCTTAAGTAATAGACAAATGTCACAAAACCGGTTTAAAAAACAATGTCAAACCCCTGATCAGTGTATCAAACTCATAAAAGCCAAATAACAAACGTCTTACAAATAAAACACACTATAAATATTATTTCTTGCTACTAGAATGTATGACAGTTTTATCAATATTCAAAGTTGCTCTTAATAAATATGTTATTTTATTATAACATAAAAATAAACTTTCCAGCCGAGAGATGTAATTGATTTTAAAAATAACCACATAACGTTAACCACTATATATGAATGATATCTTTATTTCAGACTCAAAAAGGTCCATATAAAATAAAAAAGCATACAAAAACAACATACAACATGGATAACAACAAATACCAAGAAAATAATTTACATCTAATATCCATATAAGCACTTTCTCCAGTGCCTCCAAAGTGCAGAGGTGTACCTAACAGTACTCTTCTCCAAGATCACAATAATTTCATATATATATGATTTTTTTTTTTAACAGTTCTTTGGAACGAATAGTTCAAAAGAACCGTTTAGTGGAAACGAGTCAGACGTCCTATCCCTATCGTGACAGCGCCAGACGGGAGAATATCTGAAATACCGCGAGACCGAACGAGATTGCCGCTTCCTCAAAATGTAAACAGAAGTGAGTAGATGCACAGTGAACAAGACATGTGAGCAGGTATGTTTTAAAGTATATATTTCATTGTTTAATTGCTTATTTTACAAAGCATCCGCCACTTGTATGCATTTACGCTTATTGCAGGCAGTTTTGTAAACTGAACTATCTTGCTGATTAATTAGCATGCTAAGTTAGTCAGCCAGTATCTTGAGATGCATTTATGTTCATAAATTCGTATTCTGGCCAGTGATTTGATGATCATTTCATACGCAACGTTATCGCATGCATATGCTTGTGCTGGAAATGTCATCTAAGCATTAGAGAAAGTAAAATCAATGACATGTTTCCAATTACGATGTAAGTTAACTTGTTTTGGCCGTACTGAAAACTTTTCACAGAAACTCCATCGTATGTGTTGTGATGGGTTCTGCTCCGTGGCTGATAAAATGGAGACTAAAGGGACCGACGAGGTGGAGAACCTGAAGTCCAAGTTTATGTCAGCATGGCACAATGTGAAATATAGTATGTAACGAGAGATCTTACATGTCACTAGGATGTTAAGATGATCACTTTCACGTCACAAAATTGACATACCTGCACACGTGACTAATCATGAAATGTTTTTAACCCTTCAAGGTTGGGCTCTTAAGTCAAAAACTGCCTTCAGCCGTAATTCTCCTGTTTTCTTGTTGGGCAAATGCTACCACTTCAAGGCTGTGGGTAAGATGATTTACACAGAACGTTTAAACCGATTTGATAATCTGTCAAATCGCTTCACAGAGTTGTAATTGTATATTTTAAAATTGTCTTTAATATTTAATATGTCTGGCATTTTAAAATAAAATGTACCCACCAATATTCTAGGTGTATAATGGAATGTTTATGCTAACCGTTGTCCTCAGATGATGAAAGCCCTACTGAGAGTTGTACTGCTGAGGCATTAGATGACGATATTGTAACAGGTAATGTTGATGGATTTCGCAAGGACTTCACTTCACGAGTTTGGCTGACCTATCGAGAAGAGTTTCCTGCTCTTCCTGGCCCCACCATCACTTCAGACTGTGGGTGGGGTTGTACACTCCGGGCAGGGCAGATGATATTGGCCCAGGCTCTCTTGCTTCACATCTTGGGTAGAGGTGAGATCGGGTCATATGTGTATAATGTATGCATTTCTATGTGACATTAAGAGTTTAATTGTATTGAAAATCTATTCACCCTCAGGCCATCCAAAACATAGATGAGTTAGTTTCATCATTAGAACAGATTTGGAGAATTTTAGCATTACGTTACTTGCTCGCCAGAGAATAGGTGCTGTCAGAAAGAGTCCAAACAACTGATAAAAGCATGATTCCAGTCCATTATTAACATCTTGTTAAGTGAAAAGTGTTTGTAAGAAGCATCCATCATTACGACGTTTAGAGTCCATAATAACGTTTCTTCCCGTGAACAAGTCCATCCTATGTTTTCTTCTCACCAAAATATTTGTTTAGAACTGTTCGCTTGTAAACCATGCTTGATCTGTGCATATACTTCTCTTCTAATTCAGACGAAACTACTTTTTTTTTTTTTTGCTGGAGAAAGCAATATTATGGATGGAGGACTCAAATTTGAGTTAAAATGTCTTAATGATGAATTTATTATTGGTACAAACACACAGCTTTTTGCTTAACAAGGTGTTCAATTTGATGGACTAGAGTCATTTGGATTACTTCATTTTTCACATTATCATTTTTGGGTGAACTATTTTTTTTAAACGGTAGATTTAAAAAAAATATGTATAACAGTTTTCATATGATAACAGTTCATGTGAGAGCTGCAAAAACAGTTCTGAGGTGTGTGTTGCTTAAACCTAAGAAGCTGAAGTTTTCATCTCCTCATTTGCAAATTGAAATTCTGTATTAATTTTTCATTTCAGAGGTTGGGTATTTCGGTGTCTGAGGTTGTCACTCTCTAATGAATGAGTTCTCATATGATTGACGGAGGGCAGTTTTGTGTAATATGGTGAACAGGCCACGACATTTGCCAGTTTAATACCTTCATTCAAAAAACAACACTGAAGCGTCATCCAGAGCCCACGTCTATAATGAAATATGTCGTTATAGAAATATCTGTCTATAAAGAAGCTAATGGCTAATAAAATATACTTATTAGCCAATTACAGGCTTTGACAAGTAGCAAGGTCATTGCCTTATGGCCCCACAGCCAGGTCCGGCACCTTTATGACCCTCAGCACTTGTACTTACACCATTTCAGACACCCACTCTGTTTGTGAGGATTAAATGTAATAAAAGTGAAATACTGACTAAGCGGAGTATCGTAATTGGACTTTTGTTCTTAAAGCACAAGCCCCACTGTCTATTTAAAAGTCTAATTTAAATATGTCTGTCACTCAAAAATCTAGGACAGACTTTTAGGACTTCTGAAAGACTTCTGCTCCATTGTTCCTTACTGCATTGTTTCTTAATAGATATCATTTATGAGGTAATTATCAAAATAAAGAATATAATTACACTACTGGTCAAAAGTTTGGAATAATTGATGTTGATGATGTTTTTTAAAGACACGAATTATGCTGACCATGGCTCCATTTATTTGACGAAGAATATATTAAAAACCGTAATATGAAGTATTATTAGAATTGAAAATAACTCTTTTCATTTTAAAATAGAATTTATTCATGTGATGGCAGAGCTGAATATTCAGCAGCCATTTATCCCGTTTTCAAAGTCACATGATCCTTTAAATACACTTTTTTTTAAATTCTCTATCACCAGACTGGACCTGGTCAGAAGCACTGACCTTGGAGCCCCTGGATACAGAGACATGGACCAGCAGTGCAGCACGAAGACTGGTGGCCACATTAGAGGCCTCCATTCAGGGGGAAAGAGCGCAGGTCATCCAACCTATGTGTGCTGCTCAAGGAGGGGCTGAAGAGGCTGACTCATACCTGCAAGAGGCATATCACCGCACCATTGTGTCCTGGTTTGGGGACGCACCCTCAGCCCAACTGGGCATCCACAAACTAGTGCAGCTAGGAATGACATCTGGAAAACGGGCAGGAGATTGGTACGGCCCAGCAGTTGTGGCACACATACTCCGGTAAAAAGTGCATTATTTGATTAAATTTAAGTCCTTTGTTACCCATTCCTCATTATGATGATTGTCAAATATCTCTCTTACCCTGTCACTCTTCTCTTTCCCTCAGAAAAGCTGTTGATGAAGCAGTAGATGCGATGCTGAAAGGGATAAGCGTTTATGTAGCACAGGACTGCACTGGTATGGGAAATCTAAATCTAAAATCTTTCACAGAACAACAATAGATGGGCAAATATGATTAACAGAAGACTTCCCAAATTCAAACTAATTTGTATTTGAAAGCAATTTTGTGCTTCTTTAGAGATTCTATATACAGTATAAATCATCTTTATATATGATTGTTAGATTTGGTCAACAAATCTGAAACCAAAATGTATATTTAATAAGTTTCATAAAAAATTACATTAAGCATAATTTTGGACAATACTGTATGTATTGTTTATTTAAAAAAAATTTATGTCTATGGAGGAGTGTCAAGGAAATATATATATATATACATATACACACTGCCGGTCAAAAGTTTGGGATCAGTAAGACTTAGTAATGATGCTGAAAATTCAGCTTTGCATCACAGGAATTAATTAGATTTTAATGTATATTCAATTAGAAACATTGTATTTTACATCGTAATAATATTTCACAATATTAAATTTTTCCTGTATTTTTGATCAAATAAATGCAGCCTTGATGAGCATAAGAAACTCCTGTAAAAAAACATAAAAAATCGTTCTGATCCCAAACTTTTGAACGGTTGTGTGTGTGTATGTGTTATTTATTTTAATAAATGCTGTTCTTTTGAACTTCATGATTTATTGATTTATCCTTAAGTCTTGAAGAAAAATGTATCATGGTTTTCACAAAAATTATTGAGCAGCACAACCATTTTCAACTGTAAAATAAAATAAAAGGATTCTTGTACACCAAATGAATATTTTGGAATGATTTCTGAAGGATCATGTGGCACTGAAGTGTGTATTTATGGCTGCTGAAATTCAGCTTTGTCATCACAGGAGTGAATTACATTTGAAAATATATTAAAATATAAGATGTGACAATATGACAATTTTTATAATATTTTTAATCAAATAAACCATAAGATATTTCTTACAAAAACATTTTAAAAAAAAATTATTTCTTACCCTAAACTTTAGAATGAAAGTATATATACATTTTTTTTTAATCCCAATATGAACAAACACACCCAAATGTAATATTACATAATATAAGATAACTTACAAACATCATACAATTGTAGATGAATCATGTATTGACACAAGTAAAATTAAATTTCGTAATGGCTATATTTGTCCCACTCACCAGAGAGAGGGACAGACAAAGGACCCGTTTTTGACCTCTGTGTTATTGATTGTCTTCAGTGTACAGTGCTGATGTTATCGATAGCCATTCAGGGCGGATGGGCAACCACAGTGATCCTCAGGGACTCAATTCTGGAGCTGCCCCTGATAGTAGAGCTGTCATCATCCTCATTCCTGTGAGACTCGGTGGAGAGAAAATCAACCCAGAATACTTGAGCTTTGTCAAGGTGAGGCTTTGGAAACCACCCTTTTGTACAACTACAAAGTAGATTATACAATGACAAAGAGAAAAAATATTTGTTAAAGATGTGGCTATCGACTTCAATACTGTGATCTTAACGACTCCCTTTCTCTTTTCCCTAGAGCATATTAAGCTTAGAGTACTGTATCGGCATCATTGGCGGAAAGCCTAAACAGGCCTACTATTTTGTTGGATTTCAAGGTTAGTCTTTCATAGGAGACAAAGTAAATGAATGCATGCAAAGAGAAGGCCAGCGCCATCAGAGAAGCTTATTTTATTTTTCCCAAACCCATCAGAAATGCTACACCATTCATCATGCAAGGGTATCTGAAATAGTGGGCTTTTTCCATTTCCATAAGCAGCTTGCATAGATTTCAGAGCTACCCAGAGTAGCCCACTCTCCATCACCTTCAGTAGCCAGTGGAAACCTTCAGTTGTACATGTAGGTAGTCAATATTTACCCATTTACATTTTAGCAATTTGAAATCCACTCCGCGATGATGTCTAAATGACAAGCAGTACATTCTCCCCGCCAGGTTCAGCCTGCCGTCTGCATTCATCATATGCAAATGATCTAATATAATTGCGTGTTTGTAAAAGTAATTTCTCTACACCAAAATTAAATGACAGCCTGCTTTGCGGCATAAAAAATGTGCTTGTACAACCAGATTCGATTACTCAGCGTTTAATCCATCCGAGTTTAGGAAAGACCAAAAAAAATTCTCACGTTTGATTGTTTGAAGCCCAGCGGAGGTGGGGGACTTTGAGCTGCTCTGCATAGAAATTGGGCAAGGATATGCATTATAATAATCACTGTGTTTTTTGAATAACTTGTCTTTTGTTTTGTCCTTGCAGATGACAGCTTGATTTACATGGATCCTCATTACTGTCAGTCTTTTGTGGATGTCAGCACAAGCGATTTCCCTCTGCAGGTAATGTGGAATTACAAAAAGCTGACCACCGCACAGTGATGTGAATTTAATAGTTTCTGTACTTAAGGGTATGAATCTGAAAGTAGACCTCCACACTCAATTACCGAACACAAGAGATTTACACATTGTTCTGTACTTTGTATCAGCTCCGACATATTTTATATAGCTCCAACGATTTTATATTTCAGCATCATAACTTATTTTTACGCTTTTGTGTGCTGTAGAAAGTGGCCTGGCGAAAGACAGAAATATTGGGCCATACTTTTAGCTCAGCTGTCTAAGCCTTTCAGATCTCAGGCAGAATTTAACATTTGTCAAAAAATGTGTCAAAAAGGAATATCTTTCATTTCTGCAATCTGGTTGTTTCGCGTGAACACGCATCGCTCATTTGGAACAGAGCTGGGCTGAACAGTTTAACATACGTTATGTTGTAGACATTATGGACAAAAATGTCTAATACTTTAGTTGTGCATTTGGATCACTGTGATTTCATAAACAGATAAATAAATGGCTTATTTTGACTCATTTTAAAGGATTTTTTCTTCTTTAGTCTTTTCATTGCCCATCGCCAAAGAAAATGCCTTTCAGTAAAATGGACCCAAGCTGTACGATTGGATTCTACTCAAAAAATGTTGAACACTATGAAAGAATTAGCAACGAGCTGTCAAAGGTGGGTAAATCTTTCAAAATCTTTCAGAAATGTTGTTTCATATTGTTTTGATGAAAATGGCATGTTAACTTTAAAAAAAAAAAAAAAAAAACTAACAGAAAAATATTGGCTTTGTAAGCTGGAAAAAGGTTGTTATTTAAGTGTCTGTCAGCAGGTGGCAGCATTCAACTACGTAAGTGGAAACTGTCGGACTGTCACTGCGTCTAGCATAGACTACTGTGAGGGGAAAATGTTGTATAGTTTTGTCCTTCTGTATTATAAGTGAGAATCTGCCATATCTACCTTTTAATTAAAAAAATCTAAAGGTTGATTAACTGTGTTTGTTAATGTGACAGATATTGCAGCCTTCATCAAAAGAGAAGTACCCTGCATTCACCTTTATGAAGGGACACAGGAAGGATTATGAACTTTCGGTTGCTGTAGAACAGCAAGGATGGCCTTTCATCAGGGACACAAGGAAAGCAGGGACAACATCGGGAGACTTTGTGCTACTCTGACTCTTCAAGCCAGTAACCCAAAACCAAGTGATGCACCACAAATCAGGACTGGATCAGTCTGTATTTACACTGTGGGTCTAAACTATATGACCCTGTGCTACACTGTCCTCATGTCATTTCAGAAAAAGCCCATTTAAAAAAAAAGACCGCAAGCAGTCTTTTTTTCTCAGAATCAATTATATTAACACATCTATCTGTTTGTGCATGAAAGCAAAGTTTGATACAGAGATTGCTTCATGCATATGGTCCTGACCACCATCCACATTCGATTTGATTTCAATTAAATTTACGTGCTAAACCTGCAAGCATTTCAGTGTGCTCGTATAAATCCAATGGACATGTGTAGTCAATACATGTATTATTTTTTTTTTTTAACCAGACAAGTTATCATGGAATCATGTTTCTTTTCTCTGGGTACATGTAGTTAATTTTTTCTTAAAACTGAATCAAAACACCTATATAGTCTACTTTTGGAAATGTATACATTATGTAGTGATTTAGCTTCACAGAACGTACGTTTTATGGTGACATGTTTTATGTTATGTTAAATGGAAGGATAATATGCCTTCACAAGTGAGTAGAAAACACTGTATCACATATATCTAAATAACTCTTAAATGATATTTAAAAAGCCCTTTCTGCCACCAGCATTTTAAGGAGTATTAAACCCATAGCACATTAATATACACAGAACCTGTGCTTAATATAAGATTAAGTACAGTAATGTTAACAACAAATATATTGGTATAATGCCGATATGTGAAAGGATCAGTCCTTCCTTGGTAGCTCAGCGTGTTATTTTTAAAGATGTAATAGAAAACATAAACGAGTATGAATCAAGGAATAATTTATTATTAAATTATGCCTTATTTAAATAACTTCAGGTTTTTTTCTTAGTGATATATAATTTTAACAAAATTGTCAACATGATGATTTTGTACTACCATATTAATTGTTGTGATTAACTTTCTTTTTTGTTAGAAACACCTATGAACCCAAAGTGCTCTGCATTGAACAGACCTGCAACACTAGCTCTAAGGCTGATGATACATGGGACAACTTTTTTTGAACAGTGTTGCTTGGGCACAAATTTCTATCTGGATACTTTAGATCAGTCGTGGGCCCTGTGCCTTACGTGGTTGCCCTTTGACGGCAACATTAACCAAAGTTGGCCAGCAACATTGCTCAAAAAGTTGCCCCGTGTATCATCATCAGCCTAACACAGTGTTCACATATTGTATTTAACCAGCGTAACTGTGTTTTCTGTTGTTTATGCAAACCTATTAATTCCACCATTTGTCAGTTTGAAGGGTTTTGTAATTCACCACAGTGTATTGTAATATCATACCTTAATTGCCAAAATCATTTGCACAATGAACATTTCAGTTTTACAATTGCTGATTTCAGAATTGTACTATAAATCTAATATGGTTTTAAAAAAGACATTTGTCTGTAATTAAATGATTTCTTTAAAGTTCTTCCTCTTCATTCCTTACTGTACAGCAAATTTGTTATTGACCTATTTTCAATCTATTAACTCATCTTCCTCAACAAACACTGGAAATGAAAAGGACTCGCACTTGCTAACTCCTTTTCATAACCCATTCAGCCAAACGGAACAAATCTGTATCTGGTGATTACGCCATTTTCCGGGGGAAAGAAAATATCCTTGTGTTGGACTGGTTAATTCCTCTGTTTCTGTTCCGTTTGAGCAATGCTTGTGCTATTTTCATGTTAAATACAAATTCTTATATTAATAAGGTCATGGCCTTCAATTATAGGGTCTGCTTGGTGGAACAAGTTACCCTTCTGGGGGACCAAACAGAATAAGTCACTGCTTGTCTCACCACTGCATGTCGTGAAGACAGAAGCAGCGGAGCACAATAACCCCATCGTCTCATAGTGTTTTCCAGTGTCTGTGATCAGTAAATTCATACTGGGCTGTATTTAGGAAACAAGGCATGGAGGAGAGAGAGGGAAAAAGGAAGTTTGGGACATTAGGGGTGAGGCAACGTGCCGACCTTTCAGTCAGTGTTACATGAAAGGGCACTTGTGCTGGGTGGCTTGGTGGCTTTGAGGAGACTTTGTGTTCTATCTGTATTTACGATGCTGCCTGTATGAATATTTGATTAATGAGTCATCCCAGCAGCGGTTACGGCAACATACCAGACCTCATCGCTCCGTTATAGCACAGCTGCCAATAGAGGCATTGATTCCGGCAGATGCCTTAAAATCTAATCTGCTCCGGCGAGCGAATTCCACAGATGAAAGAAGCGGAATTCTGGGAGAGGCTTCGTTCAGCGGGCAATTTGGACTGAATAAAGTTTTCTCTCTTCTCTCTCTTTTTGATATGCATTTTGACAAGATAGGATATGACATAAGGTTTTTGCTGCAGGCTGTAATGGAGAAAGCGCAGCCATCCATGCTGAATGGACTATCAACAATCAGTTCAGTGTTTATTCCTTAATGTCATTCTTTTCGTTTCTAAGACCATCTCTTGGGGAAGCCCAAGCTAAATTAGGCCATGCACTCGATTATTTCCTTCAGATGGAGATGGACATACATTAACAGCATTTGCACATACCAAGTCGAGGAAAGTCTGCAGAAAGAAGAAAAAAATGCAGAATTGTAATTTTAATGTGAATGTAAGGAAGTAAAATTAAAATAATTTAAATCCAAAGAAATTCATCTGTGAAAGTTTACTAAATTTGGCTTGACAAAGATTAGTTTGAAAGTGTTGGAGATGATAGATAGATTACCAGCTAATCTTTCTACAGTTTTACTGTAACTTGACTGGAGTGCCACAACAAGTGTTTAGTGTAGTCCCATGTGACCGTTGCACACGCAGTATTGATGGATATACATGTACTTTCACGTGTAAATTTACACTGGCATACAAGCACGTATGTCTTTATGTAGAGGAGTGTGTTTGGCGTGAGCTCAGGTGGCAGCAGGGTTGGGCGTCTTGCACCAGGTGCTCTGCTGTTTGATTTATTCCCCTTCTAGAATTTTGGAATGCTGGGAATTTTCAGGTACAGGTACATGAAATTTCATTCTGATATTATATCATTATGGTTAGATATATCTGCTCATACGTACTACTGTGTTTGTCTGTCTATCTATGTGCACAGTTCCTTCAAAACATAGTTTTCCAGGACCAAGCTGATTTCTTAAAGGGATAGTTCAACTGAAAATTACAATTCTGTCATTTACTTAACATCATGTTGTTCCATCTGTATGAGTTTTTAAAAAAAGTTTAAACTGTGTGTTTGTTCACACAGTAAAAGTCAATGACTTTCATCTAGTATGATTTTTTTTTTTATATAAGCTTAAAAATTTGGATTGAGGATTTATGATAAAACTTACCCTGGACCCTGTATATAAATAGGCATTGTTAAAATAGTTCATGTAGCATCAGTGTTTCAACTGTAATTTTATGAAGCTACGAGAATACTTTTTGAGTGCAAAGAAAACAAAAATAACGTCTTTATTCAACAATTTATTCTCTTCCATGTCCGAATTTGAGGCATGTTCAGGAGAGTACCACAACACGTGTGTGCTGCTACAGTCTATTTTAACAATGTCCTTACTACCTTTCTGGGCCTTGAGCATGTCAGCTGGGTTATTGTCTACGTGGTGTCAAAAAGCACTCGCATTTCATCAAAAATATCTGAATTTGTGTTCCAAAGATGAACGAAGGTCTCACAGGTTTGGAACAACCTGAGGGTGAGTAATTAATGACAGAATTTTCATTTTGGGGTGAACTGTCCCTTTAAGCAGAGTTTATTAAATTATTTAAAAAAAAATCAAATAAAGAAAGAAATATATTTCTATAGTAACAATATTATGGTAATGTAAAATAAAAAATAGTATTTTATAATAATAATATTATAATAATAATGAAAATAATACTTTTGCATTGCATTATTTTTAATAACTATTTGTGACCCTGGAGCACAAAACCAGTCATAAGTAGCATGGGTATATTTGTAGCAAGAGCCAACAATACATTGTATGGGTCAAAATTATCGATTTTTCTTTTATGCCAAAAATCATTAGGATATTAAGTAAAGATCATGTTCTATGAAAATATTTAGTAAATTTCCTACCGTAAATATATTAAAACTTCCTTTATGATATGTAATATGCATGGCTAAGAACTTAATTTGGACAACTTTAAAGGCGATTTTCTCAATATTTAGATTTTTTGCAACTTCAGATTCCAGATTTTCAAATAGTTGTATCTTGGCCAAATATTGTCCTATCCTAACAAACATCAATTGAAAGCTTATTTATTCAGCTTTTAGATCATGTATAAATATGAATAAAAAAAAATTTACCCTTATGACTGGTTTTGTGGTCCAGGGTCACATTTTACAAAACAGCTGTAAATGACAACACTAATATTTATAGCTGCCTTGCATGTATGGACAAAACCACTGAGATATTTTTCAAAATATCATCTTCTATGTTTCTCAGAAGACAGGGGAGAAAGTCATACAGGTTTGCAATGACAGACTTTTATTTTGGAGTGAACTATCCTTTTAAATTACTGTTTTTTTGTTGTTGTTTTGCTTTTTCCCACCACTATACCATTTCCCACCACTGAGCACCCAAGCCTCCCCTGCAGGGTCTTAAGCCAGCCACAACCTAATTTCCCCCTTCGCCGTGACAACACGAGGTGCCCGGAGTTAACATTTGGATAACAGATGTGGTGTGCCTGTTTTCATACGCCTTTCAGGTGACAGTACATCACAGGGGCTGTTTCTTGCATCTCTTGGGCTATATGGAGCAAACACTTGTTTCCTCATTCCCCTCTCCTCTCAGGCATGGCCGACCCCCTGTCACGATTTACTAACCAAATCCATCCAGAGCTGGCGGGAGCAAAGGCTTGAAAGCAAGGGATATTGCCTGTAGTTGGTCCTGTCGAGTCAGCTATGTGTGCTCCACAGTTGAGATGGAGGCTTTGGAGGGGGTTGGTGAGGAGTATCGCTAATGCACACACAGACGTTCATTCCAATGAGAGGAGACACTTACACCACAGAGTGGCACAACATCTATCTCACAGACACGCTTTTGTCATCCAGTGTTTCTTTGCAGTCATAAAAACATATCCAAGGTGTACTGTCTGCGCATTTTAGTCAGAGTTAGCACTGAAATTCTTTTCCCAGGCGACCAGATGAAATCATGTTGCTTGTCTCATTACTTCAGGCTCCATAAGGAAACAAGACACTGTAAAACTCTTCCATTAATTAATAGGGATATGACAGTAATTGCAACAGTGAATAAACTTAATCAGTGGCTCCCCTAAAACGTCCACTTGATGTCACAATGAAACCTCTGCAATAAATGGAAACTGGATAGAGATAATGTTATATTGTTATTTTAGCCTATAAATTTAAAGCGCTACAAATGACTGTAAACATAAACATGAACAAGTGAAAAGTTTATATACAGAGCTGAAAATACCTGATCACTTTCACTGTGTATATCAATGTGTAGCATCTAGCATCTATAAAGCAGTGATTCTCAACTAGGGGCCCAGGGCCCACTATAGGGCCTCAAGTGTACATAAAATTGCAAAAATAAGAAAAAACAAACACTGAAATAAGCTAAAATAATGAAATATCAAAATATTCCCTATTTTAACTCATGGATATCAAAACCTGGATATATGAGCTATAGAGCAGTAATTATCAACTAGGGGCCCAGGCCCACTAGTGGGCCTCAAGATTACATAAAATGTAAAAATAGGACAACACAAACACTAAAATGAGCTAAAACAACGAAATAGCAAGATATTCCTTATTTTAATTAACCCCTTAACAACCTTTTTTGATTCTTTGAAGAACCAGGATTCCTACTGTCTAGAAAAACTTGAATGAGGTAGCCTTTTTTTAAAAAGCGATATTTTTAGACTTGGAAAAATCATGTCAAGTAATTAAATCTTACAGCTCCATGGACATCTTTA